TGCCATTTTACAAAAGATATTTTCACTCTGCTAAGAAAATTCTTTGCAACTACAGCTACAGTCCTGCCCATATCAATGTTCAGGCAACACAGGAACTCAGAATTAAAGCACAAACTTAATTCCTTGTCTTTTACATTATCTAACTAAACTGCTATGAAACCATGTGTAATACAAAAAAGAAATAATCCTACAGCTGCTGGGTGACAAAATTCCCACATGTATAGTGCTCAGAAAAGACATGATAACTATATCCAACATAAGGCAAGGCTGGAATCACCCAAGACAACTCAACCTGTGAACTTTACTAATAAAAAGTAAGCAATAGCCTTTATTTTCTAATCAAATTACTAAAGGAATGAACTCTCTTTCTACCAGGTACTGTGTGTTTTCCACAAATTTTGCTACAGAATCCCAACTGTCTAGGTTAAGCACTCATAAATTCCCTTTTAGCCACGACTTCTCCCAACAGGCACCAGAGAGGCTGGTAGTTCTACAAAGAACAACTCAAGCACATCTTAAACGCATGTGTGACATTTTTAATATGAGACATACAAACCGTGAAGGACAGTCTCTTCTGTTGCATGCAACAGGCTGCAGAGGTGGCTTGGGTGTCTCTCTGCAGTAGGATGTGTTGACTTCAGCCCCATCCAGCAAGCACCTCAACTGGGGCAGCTGCACCCCTTTGTGGCCACAGGAAGCCGAACAAGCTGTCAGTTTGTCCACTGACCACCGGTATTCTGCAAAAAAGTGTGGGAGAGACATCTTAACACTCAAAAACAGACAGCAGGATTCAATTAGAAAAGAGAGAGTTGAAGACGTTCTCCGGGATGAAATATACGGACTTAGTGAAGGGGAGCTACCGATAACTACAACGTACCTTGATGTGAACTGCTGACTGCCTTTGGTGTAACAAACACAGGTGTTGTTGCTTAGAAGCAATAGGCATGGAAAGTCAGTAAGATGGTAGAGCAGTTCAGTAAAGGCAGATGACAGTGACACAGTGTCTCAGTTTTATTGAGACAAGGGTCTTTTGCTGAGGATGGATTAGGAGAAAAAGACCCAAACCTTTTTTTTCTAGCAATTATAGATTCGAAATTAAGAGGCTCCGATTGAAGGAAAGCAAATTATGGAAAAGGGAAAAAGGAAAAATAACAGCCCTTTATTAAGTATGTGTGTATTAACGTAACACGAGGGAAAAAA